GGCTTTTTTAAACCAAAGTTTTGCATAGTTTAAAAAACTCAAATTATTATCTTATCAAAAATATCATTGCCTACCTTGCTTTCCTAGTCCTCTGAGGCAACTATTTCAGCCATTAGCAGATGATTCTTTGGTATTTACCTTCCTTGCTCTAAATAACATGGGTATACAGATGCTTCCTGATTTTATACATGATAGGCATTATTTGCTGACTTTCCAATATGGCAGTCAAGGATTTAGCTCTGCTCACCCCACCCTCATCTCCACCACATGCATGCACCCACTTCCTGTTCCCCCATCCTCCCAATATACTTGTCATATTTGATCATATCAAGTTCAGTTTTCATATTATTATGATTGTGCTCATGTTCATAACTGAGTCTCTTAAGGTAATCATGACTTTGTTCCCTTTTCCTTCATAGCTTTTTATATTTCACTGGAATTTAAGATTGCCTCCCCTCCCCATTTATTTAGTTATATTTGTGGTACTGATTACGAGTCCCACCCCTAATTCTCTCCCAGTCTGTAAACCTCTTTCAATATTCTAAAACAGTCTTCTCAGTCTCATCTTGACAAATCTTTCCTAGGGTCTTTGATCATCTTCAGTCGAACAGGCGGTTTCTCTGCCTGGCTCACAGCTGTCCACTTGGGATGTTTCTTTACTGTCATCTTGGTAAGTCCCATTGCCTTTCCTGGGGTTGGAGTCCTGGTTTCTTCAGTCTTACAGCTTACTTTGTCTAGGTTTCCTCCCTCATTTTGCTGAAGCACATCCTTTAGCAGCTTCTTGAGAGGAGAAGGAAGTGCTTTAAAAAACTTTACATGTGTGAAAGTGTTTTATTCTTTTCTAGTACTATTTTTTTTCCTTTGGTGGTCTCCATGTAGGATTCTAGGCAGGAAATGATTCTCCTTCAGAAGACATTGTCCTACTGACCTCCAGGTTCCAGGCTTGACGACAACCTGATGACACTCTGCACCTGTTTTCTTGAAAATGTTTTAAGAACCTGTTCTTCTCTCTGTGTAAACTGATGGGCTCTCTTCTTCGTTCCAGTTTTCAAAATTCCGTAGTGATAAGAAATTCAACTCAACTCTACACACAGATATTGAGACAGACATATGCAGTGGAGCTTCCTTCACTCAGGGTTCCAGGCTGAACAAAGACATGTACAAGAGATTCTAGCCACAATATACGGGAAGTGCAGAAGCTGAGGCCAACAGGGTGTGGGTGAGTGTGCAGTATTGCACATGGAAATGACACATACAAGATGTGTAAGGGCAACATTTATACAAATTCCACATATCAGTACTTTTTAAGGGGGACTCACGTAGGGTCTCAACCTGATTCATTAGCTACTTAGCCTGCCCATACCCTTCACATCCTCCATGCTGTCATTTCTACAGCCCCTGTGGAGGTGCGGGTAATCAATCAAAAAGGGTGCCACACCCCCTGACCTTGGGACTGCTGGAAACCACTGCATGTACAGCCCAGGGAGCACCCCTTGGGGTTGGAGGCTTTTGTTTGGTGCTGTGGGAGATGGGAGAGATAAGACTGAGGCACTACCCACCCCCACATGTGTTTTCTGGGGTGGAGGGATTGAGGAGGGCCTACCTCCCTCAACACCCCCAGCCATGGGGTGTCTTTCTTTCTCATCTCTGTTTTGACCGTTAAGTCCAGCTCATCTTTGCCTTTGATATGTAACCAAAGGAAAACTAAGAAAAAATAAAAAAATACCACCACCTTTGGACTTCAGGATCAGCTCCTAATGCCAGTGGTACTGTTCACCTCCAGGGGACAGACAGACTTAACCTTTCTGCACAGAACTAGGAAGACTTGAACTCTAGGTCAGGGGTTCTCTCTAGCTCCCTGGGGGAGTCAATTGGAATAGAACCAGGAACCAGAATCCCTTTAAGAAAACAATCACTAAAATGTCCTTCTCCTTCAGCTTCAACATGTACCAACTGATGTCTGTGGAAAGAACATACTGATAAATAGAACATATAGTAAGCTGCTCAATGAATGTTTCTTCCCTGAATACAAAATATTCCCCTCAATGTAAAATCTACCCCACATTTGTGTACCTTTCCTCTCCCTGGTGCGAATCAGCCAAGAGACAGTACTACAGTACTTGGTGGCTGTCAGAATATTGTTTTTTTAAAACAATTGACCTACTATCTTAATTATTAATAATGCTCACAGCAACCCTATGACACATGTAGTTTTAGTCTTCATTTTACACATTCATAAACTGAAGACTAAAGAGGTAAAATAACTTGCCCAGGATCCCAAAGCCCATAATGTAGAACAAACCCTGAGTACACTAAGTCCAGCGCTCACAGTAGACCTGACTCCCTCCACACAAAAGGCAACCCCAAATACCACTTGAATCCCAGGTTAGACACTTGGGAATTGTCACTAAACTGAAGCATTGCCCCGGAGGAGCACATGGGAGAGACTCGTGGAAAGGGACTCAGGAAACCGATCTGCTCGTTCTGATGCTAGTCAGCTGTGGGGCTCTGACAACACCCTCTGACTCTCTGACTCTCTGGGCCTCAGTTTCCAGATCCATAAAATGAAGTGAAGAATGTATCTGCAGAGTTTTAGGAGAGAACCATGATAACCTAGGGAAAGAAACAGAAAGACCTCTCAGAGGGCTTCCCGAGAATGGAAGTCCCATGTTCCCTGGAGAAAGATGGGGAAAACTTTGGAATTTTGAGACAGGGGATGGGAAATTAAGGTAGAAGTTCTTCAGATGGGTATGAGTTTCCTCTTCAGACACTCTGCTATAACCCAAGACTTCAGGATTTCTACCAAAAAATTGGATGCCTTCAAGTAGTGTTCCCTCTCCTAGAAACCAGTGGCTCTCAAACCACAAGGGTGCTCACTTGGCTGCAAGTTGAGATCACCTGGGCAGCTTTAAACATGCTCAGGCTGGATCCACTCTCAGAGACCTGATCAGGGGTATGGCAGAGGCTTTGGGAATGTGGAGTTCCCCATGTGATTTAAATGTGCAGAACAAGTTTAGAACCACATCTGCAGAGCCTTAAATTCTTCATTTTTTGCTGTGGAAATTAAAGAACACAGCAAGAAAGCACAGCACCCAGTGGCACTTGAGCTTTAATATGCTAACAAACGAATCACCTAGAGGTCTTTTAAAATGCAGCCGCTAATTCAGTAGGTTGGGGTGAACCTGGGCTTCTGCCTTTGTAATAAACCCAAGGGGATGCCAACACTGCTGTCCCCAGACTGCCTGAGTACCCAGCCTGTATCATGAACAGATACACAGTTGTAGGAGAATTACGCCCCTTTAGATCAGCTGAGACCTTAAGTAAGAAGTTACTTCCCTTCTGCCGGAGCCTGCCGGCAAACGAACCGGTCACGAACGCAATCGACGAAATACCTAAGAAATAAAGACTCAAAAAGAATGGGGTTGAGAGGGACGGAGCCAGCTCTTGGCTGAAGCTGACCACCGACAACTTTATTGAGGCGTAACATATATATATATGCTAACAGGACTCACTAAATTTAGTTCAAAGACATGCATACGTGCAGAATCGCAGACATTCGCTCAGGAATTTTATCTCAACTCTTTAAGACGAGCATGGAACTGGCGTCTTAGTGTGAATTAAATCATCCACAGGAGCCTGACAATCTTGTCAGGAAAATCCGGCAAAAGGTTGCTGCAGCAATTTCCTTTGATGGAGGTGTGAAAGGCCAATTTGCACTTTAATAAATCAGGGGTGGCGGGACTGAGAGGGACCTTTTGATCTCTCTCAGGGCCAAGAAGGGGCCTGAGCAGTCAGGCCGGCTCCCCACACCTTCTTGTGCCTCAGTTTTCAAATCTAAAAAATGCAGACTAGTGATAGCACTTCCATCACAGAATTCTTGTGATGCTTAAATGAGTGAATACTGTAGACAGATTTAGCACAACACAAAAATTTGTATGTTTTTAATTGTTAAGATACCTGACACTCCTGGAATGCTTACTACCTGCCAGGAATTTTCGAAGTGCTTTCAAATCTTAACCCTCTCAAGCCTCCAAACAATACTGTGAGGAAGTTACCATTATCTCATCATCCTTGTTTCACAGATTTTCAAAAAAACGGAGACACAGAGTTGTGGAGAATCTTAATTTACAGAACACACCTAGGAGCAGCTGGGCTGGTGTGTGAAATCAGGGAGGATCTGGCCTCTAATCTCTCTTCAGGGCTGAAATAAATTAGTGCTTGAGGCTTTGACGCGAGGGTTTACCCTCTGGGATGGGCTGCAGACCAGCAGGGGGCAGTCTAGGGCTACCTGGCCGCAGAGACCACTTAGCAGTGTGTGCTGTGCCAGGCAGTCCACTCAACTGACACTGGGTCTTCAGCATTTCAGAACTCCCCCTCTCCCCTCCCACTCAGGTCCCCGCGCGTAGGAGGCCACCCAGGAATCCAAAAGAAGGAAGAACCCTGCCAATTAGCTGCAAATCTGAGTTCCCTAACAAAAGACCAGGTCTGGGGGAAAAGCAACTAGGAGACAAGTTTTCCGAAACTCACCTTTATCCCAAGAGCACAACCAGCCTGGGAAATCTACAGATTTCTCTTTATACTGAAAGTCTAGCAAAAAGGGTTGGGAATTAGGGTGGGAGAGTGAGGTGGAGCCAGGCCCCAAAGCCCGCCCCAGGGCTATCAGAGTCCTGCAAAGTTCTTGTGCAAGGAGATAACTGTTTTTGATGGGCTGAACGTGGCCAGAAAGCCTTGGGAGGTTGCCAGGACTGGCTTGAGGCATTCTCCACCAGCCTAGGGGATAGTAGTCGGGGACAGAGGACATAAAGGCCCAGTGGGAGCAGAACTGGAAGGTGAGCACAAGGAGCCCCACTCTCGGCTCTTTGGTAGGCTCAGGCCTCCCTTTATTCTGTGACTCTAGGACAGGAGGGGCAAGTGGCCTGAGGGCTTCAGAGAACTGGTCACGGCACTGTCTCTTAAGACTGCTGGAGTCCCTAGCACGTGCTCAAGGCTCCGGTAGAGTCATGGCAGATGAAGATCCCAACCAACAGGAGCATGATGGCACCCCTTCTCAGATGCCCCCACTCAAGGCAGAAGCCCGTGGCTACACCCTATTCAGAGTTTTGGACAGAGAGTTCATGATCAAGCTGAGCAAGCGCCGGTGGGCGGTGGTCCTGGTGTTCAGCTGCTACTCCATGTGCAACGCCTTCCAGTGGATCCACCACACCGCCATCAATAACATCTTCATGAACTTCTATGGGGTCAGTTCCTTTGCCATCTTCTGGCTGTCCATGTGCTACATGCTGACCTACATCCCTCTGCTCCTGCCCGTGGCCTGGCTCTTGGAGAAGTTTGGCCTGCGGACCATCGCTCTCGCTGGCTCCGCTCTCAACTGCCTGGGGGCCTGGGTGAAGGTGGGCAGCCTGCAGCCACATCTCTTCCCAGTCACCGTGCTGGGCCAAGTCATCTGCTCCATGGCCCAGGTCTTCATCCTGGGTATGCCCTCCCGCATTGCTTCCGTCTGGTTCGGAGATGATGAGGTGTCAACTGCCTGCTCCACAGCTGTCCTTGGCAATCAGGTGGGTGGAGGAGTGGGTATTCACTGGGGACTGAGTGTTCATTGTACAGAACTGCCTCATTGTGTGAAAGCTGTGTTTTCCGACTGCAACAGTGTTTGCGACCCTAGGTGAAGTGTGGCTGAGTCTGACTAAGTGTGATTGAGTGACTGTGTGAGAAAAGTGGGAGACAGAAGGATGGGCCTTTCCTGTCACCATGGTATCTCCTCCACAGGCAGAAAGCCTGCTGTCACCGTCTTTATGATCTCATTCCTCAACTTACTTCACCAGCTTGAACCTGTGAATTCTGCACTGCTGTTCTTTCTTGGGGAGCAGTCCCTGTGTGTCAGACTATTCTGTATCTTAGAGTCTGGCAGATGTTTTTTGCCCGTCCAACCAGCTTTCCTCAAGTGCAGCATCTCCCTGTGGAAAAGCAGAGTGGGGCCCTGGTGGCCCTGGTGTTGCTCTCACCTTCTTTATACACAGCTGAGGCCAGGACAGTGGGAGCCGAGCTTGGGGCCCAACTCCTTCCCTGGGGTTAGAGTCGGGTGCAGAAGGATGGGACAGAACTGTTGCTCTGATTTCCAAGGCCTAGAAACCACCGAAGGTCCTGGAAAGCTCGTATATGAAACCTTTGTTTTTCCTTCATTCTGTAAGGATCTTAAATTCTTTGCATCTCTGTTGAGTTTATGGGCCAGAAAGTTGGGCATGTTATGAACCTGATTTTTTAAATTGTGGTGAAATAGACATATTTATAATTTTACCCAGTCACACACGTACAATTCAATGACATTAGTTTCATAAGGTTGTGTTAAGAATTACCAATATATGTACCCAAAACTTTTTTTCTTCATCCCCAGCAACTCTGTACCGGTTAAATAACAACTTGTCCTTTCTCCTTCCTGCTGCCTCTAGTAAGCGCTTCTACATTCTATAAATTTGCATGTTCTAGGTACTGCATATAACCAAAATCATGTAATTTTGTCTTTTGAGTCTGGCTTACAAACTCTTTTTTTGTATGCTGATAAAACTAAAAAACTTAATATAATTATTGTTACTGTCCATGTTTTGAGATTGTGGGTCATATAAACCTTCTAGGGTGAGACTTCTAGGGCAGGTAGAGAGGAACTGAATGCAGTTCTGGTTTCTCCATGCAAAGCCCTCACCAAAGACACAGCAGGTGGGTGAGCTCAGAGGCTGGCCACTCTGGGAGGAAACTAGACCAGTGCTCCCTCAGATGGTGCCCACTTACCTCACCTCTGGCTCCAGGACAAACTGCAGATGCCTGGGCCCTCACCTGGACTTCCTAATCAGATCCTCTAGGGAAGAGGCCAGGCGCCTGTGTTTCCACCTGGCTTCCCAGGCGAGGTTTGTGATCAGACGTGAAATCACCAGGAGAGAGGAGCACGGTGCCCTGGGAAGGCGCCCTCCCGCCTGGAGCCGGGTTCCTGTCAGGGCTGGTGTGTCTGTGCTGTTGTAGGATGGGGCTGTTCCCAGGTGGAGGAGCTGGGATCTCAGTCACTCTCCAGATTGAGACAGGAGGGTGGGCTTGGGGCAGCGCTTATAATTCTGATTCACTTGAGGTTCTGAAAATATTCTGGAACCCTGGGGAGTGCGGGGCAGGGTGGCAGAGGCCCTGCAGGCCTGTGAGGTGGAACCACAGCAGAAGCTTCTAATCCTGTTTCTTTGACCTTCAGCTCAGTGCACTGCATGGGAGGAGGCTCTGGGAGCCTGGCCTGACTTCTGTCCTGGCCGTGTTGTGTTGGCAGGCAGTCTTGAGGGTCTGATGATTCTGTGGAATCAAGTCTACGTCTCCAATTTCCTTCTTCCTCGACCTTCCTGTTAGGGGAAGCACACTGATCGAAACCACCCACCCTGGCCAGGCACCATAGTAACCATTTGCATGAGTTGTTTTATGGCAGGAGATCCTGATAAGGAATACGGAACTAATAAGCCACCACCAGCCAGAAGAGTTGGGGAAAGGTCGAGAGGAGACACTACCTGTCCGTCCACTTCCCAGAATCCCTCTTGCTAGCATCCATCTTGGCTGAGTGATGGCGTGCGCCACCAGGAAAGACTCTGAATTAGAATGATTGACCAAAGACCACCCGGAAACTAATCCCATCACCATAAAACCCAAGACTTCGAACCACACGGCAGAGCAGTTCTCCTGGGTTCCCTTACCCTCCTGCTCTCCACCCGGGTGCCCTTTCCCAATAAAATCTCTTGCTTTGTCAGCACGTCTCTCCTCGGACAATTCTTTTCCGAGTGTTAGACAAGAGCCCAACCTCGGGCCCTGGAAGGGGGTCCCCCTTCCTACAACATTCCCACCCAGCCTGTCCCGTAGTAGATTATGGACCAGGAAGCTCCACATCCTTGTCCCCACTACAGATACATGAATTAAACTAGAATGTGGCAAAAATAGCTTTCTTATGGGAGTTTTTCAAAATCAGCAACTAAACACATGCCCAACCAGGAAAAAGGCACGTTCAAAATGATAGAAAACTTGACGGAGGTTTTGCTCTCCCCTCTCCCCATCCTGTGTTTGCCAGCACCCCATTCCTTTCTGCAAACCTGACAGCAGAGCACACCAAACTTATGTTTTACCTAATGGTACTTAAAAAAATTTTTTAATAGGAGTATAGTTGATGTGCAATGTTGTGTTAGCCTCAGGTGTACAGCCTTTACAGTCTCAGGTGTAAAGTGGATCCACTTTACAGCCTCAGGTGTAAAGTGAATCCATTATTGATATACATATATCTACCCTTTTAAAATTATTTTCCAAAATGGGCCATTATAGAGTATTTGAGTAGAGTTTTATATAGTAAGTGTTATGAGTTCAGTTCAGTTCAGTCGCTCAGCCGTGTCCGACTCTTTGCGACCCCATGAACCACAGCATGCTAGGCCTCCCTGTCCATCACCAACTCCCAGAGTTTACCCAAACTCATGTCCATTGAGTTGATGATGCCATCCAACCATCTCATCCTCTGTCGTCCCCTTATCCTCCTGCCATCAATCTTTTCCAGCATCAGTGTCTTCTCAAATGAGTCAGCTCTTCACATCAGGGGGCCAAAGTTTTGGAGTTTCAGCTTCAGCATCAGTCCTTCCAATGAACACCCAGGAATGATCTCTTTAGGATGGGCTGGTTGGATCTCCTTGCAGTCCAAGGGACTCTCAAGAGTCTTCTCCAACACCACACTTCAAAAGCATCCATTCTTTGGCACTCAGCTTTCTTTATAGTCCAACTCTCACATCCATACGTGACCATTGGAAAAACCATAGCCTTAACTAGATGGACCTTTGTTGACAAAGTAATGTCTCTGCTTTTTAATATGCTGTCTAGGTTGGTCATAACTTTCCTTCCAAGGAGTAAGCCTCTTTTAATTTCATGGCTGCAATCACCATCTGCAGTGATTTTGGAGCCCAGAAAAATAAAGTCTGACACTGTTTCCACTGTTTCCCCTCTATTTGCCATGAAGTGATGAGACTGGATGCCATGATCTTAGTTTTCTGAATGTTCAGCTTTAAGCCAACTTTTTCACTTTCCTCTTTTACCCTCAAAAAGAGCTCTTTAGTAGTTCCTCTCCACTTGCTGCCATTAGAGTGATGTCATCTGCATATCTGAGGTTGTTGCTATTTCTCCCAGCAATCTTTTTTTATTTTTAAAATTCTTTTTCATTTGTTTTTATTAGTTGGAGGCTAATCCCAGCAATCTTGATTCCAGCTTGTGATTCATCCAACTCAGCATTTCACATGATGAACTCTGCATATGGGTTTCCCAGTTGACTCTGTAGTAAAGAATCTGCCTGCAGTGCAGGAGACGTGGGTTCGATCCCTGGATTGTGAAGATCCCCTGGAGAAGGAAATGGCAACGCACTCCAGTATTCTTGCCTGGAGAATCCCATAGAGAGAAGAAACTGTCAGGCTATAGTCCAGGGGGTCACAAAGAGTTGGACAAGACTTAGCGACTAAACAACAGCAACTCTGCATATAAGTTAAATAAGCAGGGATACTGCTTTGTCATACTCCTTTCCCAATTTTGAGCCAGTCAATTGTTCTATGTAGCAATCTGTTAGATTCTTGACCCAGATACAGAATTCTCAGGAGACAGGTAAAGTGGTCTGGTACTCCTATCTCTTTAAGAATTTCCCACAGTTTGTTGTGATCCATACAGTCAAAAGTTTTCATGTAGTCAATGAAGCAAAAGAAGATTTTTTTTCTGAAACTCCCATGTTTTCTGCATGATCCAATGAATGTTGGCAATTTGATCTCTGAATCCTCTGCCTCTTTGAAACCCAGCTTGTACATCTGGCAGTTCTTGGTTCTTGTACTGCTGAGCCTAGCTTGAAGGATTAAGCATTCCACATTTAAGAGATATCATAATGATGTTTATTTTTCTCTGTCTGACTTATTTCACTCAGTATGAGAATCTCTAGGTCCATTAGTGTTGCTGCAAATGGCATGATTTCATTCTACCTTAGAGATGGGAGTATAGGAACAATTGTTCAGTAATTTGCAGCTAGAGAAGAGCCAGCTTGCATTGAGAACTCCAACTATAATTTTTTCAATAGGATTGATACCGAGAGCTGTCATAAATGTACATGAGTTGAATTGTGAAGCAAAAAAAAGATATCTACGGTGTCTTAAGAAGGAAAACAATCCCTGTTTGTGTTCTAAGAAAGAACGGAAGTTGGGGATTATGATTCTGATTAGGAGTGTGTTAAGTATGTATGTCACCTCTTGGACACTTATACTACAATTGGTTCTTTCTGTCTTCTACAGCTTGGAATTGCCCTTGGGTTCTTGGTCCCTGCTGTCTCAGCACCCAACATCGACGACCCTGATGAGCTTGCCTACCACATCAGCATCATGTTCTACATAACAGCAGGTGTGGCCACTCTGCTTTTCATCCTTGTCCTCATCGGTAAGGTCATTAGCAGATTTAAGGGGTCGGTGGGGATGGAGGGAGGTCCTGCTGACTTGGGTGAGGACCTTATGAACATGACCCTAGAACACTATTCTAGGTACCGTGTATTCTATAAAATGTATCTGCAGAAATTGGAGGCTGGGCTTCTGATGGTCTCCCAGCCTTATAGCCTGAGTTACTGCTCATACAGTGCTAGCTGGTCCTGTGTACTTTGTTAGCTGCTCAGTAAGGTTTAGCATGAAGTTTCCTAGCGCAACCTCATTAGAATTAATGGACAGCCTGCCGATTCCCTTGATGAAACCCTGATGAGCATTTATGATGTCACAGGCCCTGTGCTGAGTGTGCCTGATCTCACTGACTCTTCAAGTGCCCTGTAGAGGGGGTACCAGTATCAGTTCACTTAACTAAGAGGAAACTGATAATTGAGGAGAGTGATAGTATTCAAGATTAGATAGTAAGTGGCAGAGATTGGGTTCAAGCCTAAATTGTTTAACTCCATACTCTAAATTTCTGGAACAAAACAGGATTGACCTGCAAACACTAGTCCTCTCATACATTCACCTGAAAATACCTGGGGACCACATTTAAAAAATACTTTTAAAAAAGGTATATAAGATAGGCTTATTATGGAAAAATCTAGAAAATACAAAAAAAAAAGCATAAAGAAAAGGGGTCACCATTGTACCAGCTAACCCCAACCAGCAACCTCTAATAACTACTATTAATTTTATATGAATATATGTCTAAACATTGAGATATTTGGTTAATATGATTTATATCCTCTTTCATCATGAGTGATACCACACAGTCTGTGATAAATTCAGAAAGAGTGCAGGAGAAGTGTTCATTTTCAGTGAATCATTTGTCTTTAAAGATTAACCAGCTGTCTCTTAATATCTGAAAATTCTACCACACATGTTAAAGTTTTCTTTCCTTCCCACTGGCCTCACCTCCAGAGTCAAACAGTTTTATGATCACGCACCTCATCCAGCTGTTCTCACTGTCATTCCCTCCCCAGGTCCAAGCTGAGGAAGGGCTGCCTGTGGCTTTTCAAAGTGCACGGGATCTCTTGGATGGAGTTCCTTGCTGCTCATGGAAAGGTGGGAAGCTGTGAAGCTGTGGCTGAGAACGATCTCAGCCAGAATTGAAGTTTCAAACTGTAATGTACCCAGTTGTAAATCCTTGTGTTTGTAGCAAACGAGGGCCTGGTCCTTTGCAGTTGAGATCTGAAGGTAGGACATTTCTACAGTGTGACATTTTACTATTAATCACACATAGTAGTTGAGTGAAAAGAACTGAAAAATCTTATCTGAATTGTGGTTTGCAGTCGGCAAGTCCCTGAGCAAACCCTGCCATTACAGATATTAAAAAACAAAACACTTCTTTCCTTGATTTCTTTCCCCTAATGGAAAACTTGGGACCAAGTTGTTAGCTCAGCTGGTCAAAAATCTGCCTGCAATGCAGGAAACCCTGGTTCAATTCCTGGGTTGGGAAGATCCCCTGGAGAAGGGGTAGGCTACCCACTCCAGTGTTTTTGCCTGGAGAATCCCCATGGACAGAGAAGCCTGGAGGGCTGTAGTTCAGGGAATTGCAAAGAGTCGGACACGACTAAGCACAGCACATACACATAATAGAAGGGGAGGTGAACAGGCCAGATAATGGATGAAAGGTTCCCGAAGGTGGTAATAAGTTATTCAAGACTATTTTCAGAGAAGGAAGAAGCAAGGCCCTGAAGTCTGAGCTGGTGGGTTGTCTGAGCGGGGAGTTCATTTGATCTTCAAGAGATTAAACCTCATTTCCAGACCTTCCTCTAAATGGAGACAGTCTCCTGACCTTTCCCAAGTGTTCTTATGGAGGCTGGGGGTGAAGATGGTGCCTCAACGAGGGGACCGGTTTAGGCAGACTGCTGGTTAAACTGATGTGGCCCCCAGAGAACTGAACAGCCGTCAGTGCAGTGAAATGGATTGTACCAGCTGTACTGAAATCAGAACATAAAGAGAATGGTTTTCGCACTGTCCCTCCCCGGTCCTTCCTGTCAGAGGCCCCGTCCTGCAGGAGCATGTGTTAGTCCTCTGGCTTCTCAGGAGGCAGATGTCTGATTCCCGCTCTGAGAAACTAGGGACGGATTCGAGGTCTCTCCAATAGGACCAGACCCTTTTCCTTACTCAGGGAGTGGCAGCATGTGCCAGGCTCTGTGCTCAGCATGGGCAGCCCAGCCCTTTCCCTGGCAGGAGCTCTGCTGCTGAGCCCTTAACTGGGTAAGGACTTAATTCAGTAATCCCAGAGGCTCAGCTCTCACTTCCTTTCTGTCCCTGTGTTACTCCTGAACTTCTTCAGTGTTCCGTGGGATGTTATTCCCTGATTATTAAGGGACCCCTGATCCTTGAGCACTTCCTGGGAAGTGGATTCCATGGGATTTTTCAGTGGTCTACCACTTGGTATTTGCCATTTATTGCAGGACTCCTTTATCCTTGACCACTGCGTGGTAAGCCCAATGATTGTAGGTATCCAACAGCCATTAAGAAAAAGTAAGCAGAGGACCAGTCACTCAACCACAGAGATGCAGTTTCGAGTGAGGAAGCTATAAAGGATTTAATCAAAGAATTTATATTTCCTTTTGGAGTCTAAGCTCCTTGTCAGATGAGGGAGGCAGCTCTCATCCATGTGTCAGCTCTGCAGGACTGGGACCAAGGGATTTTCAACGATCTCTCTGTTTCTTTCAGTATTCAAGGAGAAGCCTAAACATCCCCCCAGCAGGACTCAATGCCTGAGCTACGCCTTTGTGTCCCCCGATGCTTCGTTCTTAAGTTCCATCATTCCGGTCTTCGAAAAGCAGAACTTTGTGCTGCTCTTCATCAGCTATGGTAAGATGCAGATGTGTCTAGGCATGTACTTCAACTGGAAATGCAAAAGAAGACACCTGATATATCTGCATTTGGGGCATTTTTATACTAACAAATTATTTTCCTGAAATTCAAGTTTGACTGGGTGTACTGCTTTGTTGTTTTTATGTTTTTTGTTTATTTGTTTGCCCACACAGCATGTGGGATTTTAGTTCTCTGACCAGGGATCGAACCCACATCCCTCTTACATTGGAAGGCAGATTCTTAACCACGGGACCACCAAGGAAGTCCCTATTGGGAGTTTTTTTAAGTCACTGTTTTAATTTCAGTACTTGCAGTTGGTCTGATCATATTTTCTACTTCTTCCTGGTTCAGTCTTAGAAGGTTGTGTCTTTCTAAGAATTTGTCCATTTCTTCAAGGTTGTCCATTTATTGGCATATAGTTTTTTTTTATAGTAGTCTCCTTATGAGACTTTGTATTTATGTGGCATCAGTTTTAGCTTCTCCTCTTTCGTTTCTAATTTATGATTTTGAGTTCTTTCCCTTTTACTTGATAAATCTAAAGGTTTATCAATATTGTTTATTTTTTCAAAGAACCAGCTTAAAAGTCCCTACTATTATTGTGTTACTGTTGATTTCTCCTTTTATGGCTGTTAGCATTTGCCTTATATGTTGAGGTTCTTCTATGTTAGTGCATATATATAATTTTTATGTATCACTTGATCATTATGTAGTGTCCATCTTTGTATATTGTAGTATTCTTTATTTTAAAGTCTATTTTGTCTGATATGAGTATTGCTGTAACTTTCTCTTGATTTCCATTTGCATGGAATATTTTTTTTTTTCCCAACTCCTCCATTTCAGTCTGTATGTGTCCCTAGATGTGAAGTGGGTTTCTTGTAGACAGCATATATATGGGTCTTGTTTTTATATCCATTCAGTCAGTTTATGTCTTTTGGTTGGAGCATTTAATCTGTTTACATTTAAGGTAGTTATCAATGTGAATGTTCTTATTGCCATTTTGTTAATTGTTTAGGATTTGTTTTTGAAAGTCTTTCTTCCCTTCCTCTTTTATTCTCTTCTCTTGTGATTGGATGTCTATCTATAATGATGTGTTTGGGTTGCTGTTTTTGTTGCTGTGTATCTATCATAGATTTTTGGTTTGTGGTTTTCCTATCTTTTGATATAGCAGTCTATACATATACAAAGCTGTTTTAAGTTGCCGATCTTCTGATTTTGAGTGCATTTCCAATATCCTGCATTTGTGCTCTCCTCACGATTGCTGGTTTTGATATCATATGTGTGTGTGTGGATTATTTCCTACCTTTGTGTTTGTCTTTTGTCTTTCCTAGTGAGCTTCCCCATTTGCAATTTTCTTGATTCTAGTTGCCTTATTTTTTTATTTTTTTTTTTCCCCTGCCTAGAGGATTCTTTTAGGATTTGTTATAACACTGGTTTGGTCGTGCTGAATTCTTTTAGCTTTTGCTTATCTGTAAAGCTTGATTTCTCCATCAAATCTGAATGACCCGTCTAGGTAGAGTATTCTTGGTTGTAGGTTATTCCTTTTCATTACTTCAGTTATATTGTGCCTTTCTCTTCTGGCCAGCAAAGTTTCTGCTGAAAAATCAGCTGATAACCTTCTGGGAAAGATTGAGGGCAGGGGTGAAGGGGCGACAGAGGATGAGATGGTTGGATGGCATCACCAACTCAATGGACATGAGTTTGAGCAAACTCCAGGAGATAGTGTAGGACAGGGGAGCCTGTCATGCCATAGTCCATGGGGTTGCAAAGAGTTGGATATGACTTAGCGACTGAACAATGACAACCTTATGGGCGTTCCCTTGTATGTTATTTGTTGCTTCTCCTGGTTGCTTTTAGTAGTTTTTCTTTGTCTTTAATTTTTGTCAGTTTGATTAATATGTGTCTCTGCATGTTCTCCTTGGGGTTATCTTGTATGGGACTCTCTCTGCCTTCTGGACTTGAGTGAGAGTTTACTTTCTCATGTTAGGAAACTTTTTGACTATAATCTCTTCAAATATTTTCTCAGGCCCTCTCTTCTCCTTTTGGACCCCTATAATACATGTGTTGATATGTTTAACATTGTCCCAGAAGTCTCTGAGACTGTCCTCATTTCTTTTCATTCTTTTTTCTTTATTCTGTCCCACAGCAGTGATTTCCATCATTCTGTCTCCCACCTCATTTATTTGCTCTTCTGCCTCAGTTATTCTGCTATTGATTCCTCCTAAGGTATTTTTTATAGCAGTTACTGTATTGTTCATCTGTTTGTTCTTTGTATTTCCTAGCTCTTTGTTGAACATCTCTGGTAACATCTCAGTCTGTGCCTTCATTCTTTTTCCAAGTTTGGCATTTTTGCAAGAGGAGATGAGCTCAAGTTTGTCTCCTCTTTCTTTTGTGGAATCGAGGACTGCTTTTGGTTTAGATGCCTAGTACCTCTTCCTCAATGTGTGCTGGCTGTTATCCCGGTGATATGGGGTGTGCAGTTACAGCAGGCACACCTGCCCCTGGAGCCCACGAGGACAGTGGTGACTTGTGCTGTCCTTGGACCTCCAGTAAGTGGTGTTCTGTTTCCTGGGCATGCTCACAGGGAAAGAAGCTCTACAGTGGTCCTGCCTCTCTCCTCATGTGCCCCCAATAATGGCACCTTGCCTCTCTGGCAGGCCCAAGCATATTCTAAGTATACCCTCCGTTGCTGCAGTCACCTATTCAGGCTATTTTCACGCAGCCAACCCTGGTCCTCTCCCCGGGTCTGACCTCTGAAGCCTGAGCTTCATCATCCAGTCCCCGCCCAGACCAACGGAGGAGTATCTGCGGCTGGGAGGGGCCGGGAGACTGCTGACCGTCTGTGCGGGTCATTCTCCTCTTTGCCTCTGACAGACCGGTTGCTGTGCCCTCCTCCTCAGCTCAGAAGCTCTTCCTCCATCCAGTCTTATCCCCGTGCTGGTGAGGAGGCTTCCCCAGGTTCGGGAACCTTCCCTACTTCACAGCGCCCTCCTGGGGCAGAGGCCCCACCCTGATTCCTTCTTTGTGGAGGTTTTCTCGTCTTTATGGAAGTCTGAGGGCTTTGTCAGTGTTCAGTAGCTGTTCTGTGTGATTTGGTCCATTGCAAGTGTGTTTCTAATGTTTTGGTGGGAGAAGATGAGCGCCACGTCCTACCCCTCTACCAGCTTGTTCCTCCTCCTGGGCCATCTTCTCACCCCTGTTGGGAAGGCCTTCATTGTCCTTCTCTGAGCACAGCGACTCTTTCCGTTGGTCTGTCCCTTATCCTGGCAACCAGGCCTCTGCATGAGTCACAAACTATCGTGGCTCCTGGGCGGGGTTAAGGCAGGGTGGGGGCCATGCCCACGTTTCCCTGCACTGAGCCATCAGCTTGGGGGCAAAAGAGAATGGCTTCTGAATGGCCCTGTGGCCTGGGGTCCTGTGGACTGGCTCCAGTGAAGGGGGCGCCTGAGGCTGCCGTGCCTGGGCACCGTGTCCTGTCTTATGTCCTTTTAAGTGGCGCTAATGCCAGGTGTGCCAGTGGTAGTCCTGTGAGCCTGAAAAATTGGTTAAAATTAAAAAGAAACCTGGTGAGTCTTCCAGACTGATCTTTGTGTATTTGGTTTTCAAATCTGTGTGTACTTTTCACATGTATAAAATGGGAAGAGAATATGAACTACTTTCTAGGGTTGTTATTATGATTGTAAGGTATTTAGAAAACTGTCTGGCACATAAGGACATGCCATGCCGTCACCACTAGCACCACCATCACCACCACCACCACCACCACCACCACCACCACCACCACCACTGCCGTCATCACCACTACCATCACTACCATCACCACCATCACCATCATCACCACCATCACCACCACCACCACCACCATCATCAACATCACCACCACCACCACCACCACCACCACCACCACCATCAATATCACCACCATCACCACCACCACCATCAACACCACCACCACCACCACCACCATCAACATCACCACCACCACCACCATCACCACCACCACTATCAATATCACCACCATCACCATCACCACCACCACCACCACCACCACCACCACCACCACTATCAACATCACCACCACCACCACCATCAACATCACCACCATCACCACCACCAGCACCACCACCACCATTAATTCCTGAGGCTGCCGTGCCTGGGCACCACGTCCTGTCTTACATCCTTCTAAGTGGACCTAATGCCAAGTGTACCAGTGATAGTTGTGTGAGCCTCACCACCATCATAATCATTATTATGAAGGGAGGGTAGAAGGCCCTTTTCTTTGGATCAGTTTTAGTCTCATCTTAGTTACAAAGTCACTATATGGTTTTGGACAAATGGCCTCATGCTCTAATGACACCGATTGCTACAATATATTCTAGGTGTTCCATTTACTTGCTGGATGAATCAATGAATCAGGAGAGTCAACTAGATATTCTTTAGGGTCCTTTCTGATTTCAAATATAAGATTTTGGGTGATATGGAATGTGAGAAGAGAGTTAAAAGAGGAGTGTTGGAAAGAGGTGACAATCTACTTGCAGAGGGAGTGTTGTCAGGGGTCAGAGGTCTGGAGCATTCTGGAGAGGGCGTAGGTCATCAAGAGGAGGTAGATGGTGTCCAGTAGTTTCACTGAACCCTTAGGTCAGGCCAACCCTTAAGAGGGATGTAGACAGTTCTGGCTGGGAGTGATATGTACTTTCTGGAGCCTGTGTTTCCAGGACAGAGCTAAAGGGATGAGAGGGCAATGCTGTGTGGTTAAGAAGAGAGTAAAGTGATTACTTTTGGTTGTTTTCAAGCATTTCTTCTCTGAGGGCACCACTCCCACTGCAAGGAGGTGAGCGTTTCTGACCTCTCACCTCTGGCGGCAGAAGTCAGCAGTGGCCCCAGCAGGAGAATAAGCCTAATGCTGTGTTTCTCCCTGCCTCCTTCAGGTCTGAATGCGGGTGCTTTTTATGCCTTGTGCACCCTGCTGAATCGCATGGTGATCTTCCACTACACGGTAAGGGTGTTCCCCAAACCTGCTGGGTCCTGAGAGAAGGTGATTTTTAGTCTGGGCAGGAGCTGGGGTGGCAGCATGCTATGGTGTGTGTTCCAGGATTTGGAGGGAGGTGGCTCTGAGTCTCAGCCCCACCGCCAGTAGAAATCAGATGTGTGATAAGCTGGTTTACCGTCTCTTAGCTCTCATTCTCTTTTCTCAGAAGAACCCTAATTAATTACTGAAAGATTAGTTGAGGCTTAGAAAGTTAATACTAATATATATATATATATATATATATATATATATATATATATACGTAAAGTACATAACATGGTGCCAGGCAACATAGTAGGCAAACACATATACACATAGACTCGCAGATAAAATGTTTAGTTGTGAAGTGTGGGCAAGGTTTAATTTTAAATGCTTAGTGGCTCAACAGAAAGCATGCTGTGAATGTTTCCAGAACAAGGAAGGGCTGGGAATGGGACTCTGAGTATTGAGAATCAGGAATCCAAGGCCCAAGCCTCTTTTTAAAAATCAAGGGTCTCTTGCTATGGGAGAGTTGGCCACTGTGGGTGAGTGTTCGTCTTGGAGGTGGACAGATCTGTGTTTGAATCCTACTTCTGCACCTAATAAAGGCCCTATGACCTTGGGCTAGTGGGCTAATCTCACTGTGCCTCAGTGTCTTCACCTGTAAAATGGGGGATATTGATTTCTAACCTTATGGTGGGGAATTAGGAGAATTAAATGAGATGATGGTATAAAAATCCCCAGCATGCTGTCTGGCTTCTAAGAACACTTTAAATATATATAATTATTATCTTTCTATCTGTTTAGCACTGATAGCTGGAAAAAAATCTAAGTATGGAATCTTTGGATATATATACACAGTTTTTCCATCTTAGAGATGGGCATAATGATGAAGGTTTTCTATAAAGATTATATTTTTAAAAATTTATCTAAAAGTGGTTCTAGGATAGAATTTATTTTCCCCCAGGATTCAGTATGATCCAGACACATCCAGGGTTATATTATGTTGGGAGGAGCAATTATTCTAGGATTCTGCCCCCACTGGCAACTTCTTACAGGTCATCTTGTTCTGCTACTTTCTGAAAAATGGCTGTCATGGCACACCAGTTACTCGCCTTTACCCCTTTGCCTGCTGGTGACCGCGCCCCATCAGATGTCTTGTTCCATCCTTGAGTGATCCTTGGGGCTGTGGTTTTTCCAGGGGGAAGGTATGATAGTGGGAAGAATCGGCCTGACCATCACCGTTGCAGGAATGCTTGGGACTGTGATTTCAGGCATCTGGCTGGATAGGACCAAAACCTACAAGTAAGTGACTCTTCCTCTTGGACTGAATTGGAGACCATGTTTTGAAATGACATGTTCATTAGGAACATGGCTCCAAGGATGTGACTGCAGCAGCTAGGATCTGAGTGGCCAAGGAGGCAGTTCAAAGATATCTTCTTGGAGGCAGTTTCCTCATTTATAAAATGAAGGAAGCAGTGCCTGCCCTCTGGGGACCATAGGAAGATTAGAGACAGAGGACATCAGGCCTGTCCGAGTTTCACCCCAAGTAGATCACGGAAGGAGCAGAAGAAGGAGAAAAGAAACATGGGAAAGGATCAGCAGTTGGACGTGTGTGGAAACGCCAAAGAGTGGAGATGAGAAGGTGGTTCCATTGCCAGGTTCCCATGGCTCCCTCATGGACCCCATGGGGTTCACCAAGGTGCTCTGTGCGTCCAACTATTTTCAGTGTATTACCTTGCAGTTGCTACCACGTCATTGGTAAATACTGTAATATGGTTTAGTCCTGATTGCCCAGTGCATTTCTAAGAGCCACTAAGATTTTAGTGGATTACAGGCTAAACCAGGACACTTTCTAAAAATACAGATCCCTGGGTTCCACCCCTCATGGATGTCAATTCAGTAGGGGAGTCTGCATTTAGAAATCAACCCGGATGCCTTGATTCAGTAGCCAGCCTTGGAGAAAGTGCTCTGAAAACAAACGCTCAACTTGTGTGCGTCCTGTGCTCCGCATCTGCTGGGTGCTCAGTTAATGCGGCTCAGTGGGGCAGCTGCCTGGGCTGTCCTGCGCTGGGCAGGGCAGTATTCTGGGCTGCTTTGTCAAGGCCTCCAAAGTTCCCAGTGTCTGGAGGCGACAGACAGCGGCAGACCTGTTCTCTGCACACAAACCCGCTTCTGTGAGGCTCTGGTCAGACCAGGGCTCCCTCTGGCTGCCCTCGGCAAAGGCCAATTGAGGCCCTCCCTGGGGATGTGGCTGCCTGGCCGGACACAAGGAGGAGCCCGGCTGGACCTAACTACTGCTGGTGGAGCTGGGCTGCAGCCTCGTTTCTGCCATATGCTGGTTGCTGGTTTCAGGCAGTGAGGACTGGCTTCCCTTGAACCGGGGAATAGCAGCATCCCTTTTCCGGGCTTGCTCTGTGGCAACAGAAAGGAGGGATTGGAATGTTTGCTGGGCCAGGATGTGGGCAGCCAGATGATTCAGATGAACCAGAAAAGAGAGTGAAAAGACAGTGAAAGGGCTGGGAGGACACTGCAGAATCTAGCTGACACTGGTTCCTAGTGTCATTTGATGTCTGCATCCTGCAGTCAGCATGGACATTCTTTCCGCTCCACTACTTGGGCAGAAAAAGGGTGGGGGAGCTCTGTCATCTGGGCATTTTGGTGCCTGTTCCTTCTCCCCGAGGCTCCCAGGTGTGTCTCCTTTGGTTTGGAGATGGAAATTGGATGGTCAGTTCCATTTGTGTCTGGCTGAGGCTACAGATAGTTTTGTAGACAGACTAGTGGTTTAAGAAGAAGCTGTGTGTAAAGAAATATGGCAAAAGGTGAGCTTGTGGGGTCAGCAAGGGAGATGGGTGTCCGTGGGGCTGGGTTCTGCAGCGGGAAGGCCTGTATGCGGGGAGCAAGGGGAGGAGAGATGAAGGCCCTCTGACCTCAACAGATGCTTTGAAGACCCAAGAGGGAGGGGTGTCCTGCAGAGGCTGTTGCTCTTTTCCAAAGACCAACAGGGTGTTAGTATTCCTGTGTGGGAGAGTAGAAAGAGCACAGATTTCCAATCCCAACTATGGGTTCAAACCTTAGCTATGCATTTACTGCGTGGGTAACTTTGGACGTGTAACCTGAGCCTCATGTTTCCTTTTTGGTCACATTCAGGATAGTTGTAGAGACTTTTCTTGCATGTCTTTTGTAAGAGTTGAATGAAATACTAACTGCATGTAAAGGGCTCAATAGAATTCCTGGCATTCAATCATTGCAGTATCAGTTTGACATAAGCACAGTATACACCTGCCGGCTATCCCACTGTGTTTCTAACTTCAGCAGAGATGAGGGAAGGCTCTGAGCTTTCATGGTCTGAGTCCTGATGCTCGTGGCCAGAGCGCCCAAGGAGGTGCCGAGCCCCTGACCTCAGTCAGGAGGACGGGGAGAGGGTGGCGGTCCCAGTGCAGGAGTCAGGGCCACGGCAGCCCTGGGTGGGCCGCCTGGGGGGAGGTGCGTGCAGGGACACGAGCAGGGTGAGCCCGAAAGAGAAACCAGCCCTGCTGGGCCTTCTGAGGGGCCAGCGGAGGGACACGTGCCGGGAGTGGGCGCAGCTTTCTCCCTCGGGCTTTGGAGTCAAGGGCTCGTTCAGGGCTGGAGAATGTTCTCTCTGCTGCACTGTCAGGAGTGGAGCAGTTCAGATTCAGCGGGGAGAGCTGGGCTGCACGTGTGGCAACAGAAAGGACCCAGAGACGACAGAGACTCTCACAGTCAGGTCCCTGCCCTGCATTGTCCGGGGGGTGGGGGGCGATGCAGACAAGCAGAATGGGCTTCTGGGGTTGTCTGCATGCCACTGCCACCTGACCACAGCTGATGTGTGTCCCATTTTCTTTCTTTCTTTTCTTTTTTTTTTTGGTGGAGGAGAAGGAGACAAAAGAGCTGTGTCCTTCTTTTATGTTGGTAGGATGTTCCAAGTTCAGGTGCAGAGTGATCTGGTTGAGAGGGGTCTACAGCAGAACACACATGCCTCAAGATGCTTTATACTGTCCTGGTCTGACCTTTGGTAGCTCTGAGCACAAGAACTATTTGTGTGATCATGGGTCTTCTGTCCACTAACCACATGGACACAGTGTTCCTGTGAGTAGATGTCCCAGCACACAGCAGAGGACTTGACATATAGTAAGTGCCTGAAGGATGGAAGGGAGGGAGGGTGGGAGGGAGGAAGGAAAGATTCTGGTGAAGTCTGCGGGCCGTCACTTAGAACCTTCGCCTCTCTTTGTAGGGAGACCACCCTGGTACTCTACATCATGACTCTGGTGGGCATGGCGGGGTACACAGGGACCTTGAACCTGGGATACCTGTGGATAGTATACATCACTGCTGGGATAGTTGGGTAAGTTTCACCTCTCACCTGCTATAACTGGAAAGCACCACAGCATGGCTCCTAGAGCTCTGACCTCCTAGGAAGCAATAGGAATCCCTCTGCTGCCTCTCACTGACCTCCAGAAAAATGGAAATGGTGGCCAGAGGTCATGTTCACTTGTCAGATTTCAGAGGGCTTCCTGGGGCTTCCAGGCCCATCCATGCTGATGAGATGGACCGTGTCCTTCACAAATCTCTAGGAGGCTAGGAAATATGTTGTCTATATGAGCTCTGCCTGGGACAACAAGCGGTCACAGAAAGCACACAGGTCTGGGAATCAGACAGGGCGGATCCTAATGTCAGTTATGCCGGGGACTATCTAAAACCACAGGCATGTCACATAACTGCTCTGAGACCCAGAAGATAAGAGTGGCCTGCCATATGTATGCAGTTGTTAGAAGTAATGAGAGTGATTACAGATGTGAAAGCCGCAGAAGGTGTGGTGCAGATGTCAGATCACAGAACTGGCATTTTCTAGACCTGTTATATGAGAAAGAACCTGTCCACAGGGCTCTCTGCTCATTGTCACCTCCCAATTATTTTCCTGTGGGCTGTACATGAGTGTGTGTGTGTGTGTGTGTGTGAGAGAGAGAGAGAGAGATTGAGTCCTTCTTAGCTGGCGCCTCTCTGGAGGACACTCAAGACTCCAAGGCCCTCCTCTTGAGTCCCAGAGAGCCATGGAGAGGCTGGTCAATATCCAGGACTTCCCCTGCCAGCCCAGGGCTGTGTATCCATCACACAGCAGGTCTCAGCTGAGGGCTGAACACTCCAGGCGTCCCAACCCCTCCTGTAAAAGCTGACCCTGTCTAACTGATGGTCGGATGCAGAAGGAACAGGGCTCCCCAAAGGGCCCCTGAGAAAAGAACCTCAGCTTCTTTCTGGCCTGCAAGGGTCCCTGTTTCCTTGGCCTGCCTGATTTTCAAGGGCCTGGAATGTCTTGATGGGAAGAAAGAAAGCAGGCAAGGTTGTTGTACGGAGGAGATGGGCTCCTATCCTCCTTGCTCTGGAGTCCTCCATTACCTTGTTTCTGTGATCTGCTCATCAGCTTCTCTATAACCAGCTATCTCACTCTGGGATTTGAGCTTGCCGTGGAGTTGACATACCCGGAATCCAAAGTAGTGTCATCTGGCCTCCTCAACGTGTCTGCCCAGGTAGGCCTCTCATTGGGTGGTGGCCTTGAAGCCGTGGGTCCTTGTTCCCTCCTGGGCTCGGCGGGTGCAGGGGCTGCATACGGGCAGCTCAGCTCCCCTGTGGGCTGGGTGGCCAGACCCTTGGTTCCAGTCTTCTCCATGCCTCTGCAGGTATTCGGGATCATCTTCACCATCTCCCAGGGCCAGATCATGGACAACTACGGAACCATGCCTGGGAACATCTTCCTGTGTGTCTTTCTGACCCTTGGAGCAGTGCTCACTGGTGAGTCGGGGCCTCAGGACAAAGTGATGCTCTGACTGTGCCTGAGTTTATGCTGCTGGCAGATTCAGACTCCAGTGTACTGACCGATCGCACAGATCCAGGACTCTGGTGCAGAGGTGCAAAGTGGAGGGCTCGTGAGGAACTATCTTTGGGAGGCATGAGCATGGGCTTTGCCCCCACCCCACCCCCAAAAGACCCTTTGGAACCCTGCACTGTGACACTGACCTCCATAGCTCTTTGACCTGGGGCAAGTGGACCGACCTCTGGGAGCCCCACTTTCCTAATCTATAGATTGGAGATTGCTGTGAGGATTGGAGCACTGTGTGCAAGCTCCTTGCAAATACCAGGGGTCTGTGCATAGAGGCCAGCGTCATCACTGGCTTCTTCCTGTCTGGCACAGCAGTGGCCCCCCAGGCTCTGTCAAGGTGGCTGATGGAACCTCCAGATCCCTGGAAGATCTGAAGGAGGTGGGATACTCGTGACCCTTAGGAGAGTTAAGCGCTCCCTCTTGTGGATGAGCTTGACCATTGCTCTGCTTGAAAACTTGCCCTTCTTTGTCATCCCTTGATCTTAGCATTCATTAAGGCAGATCTCCGGAGGCAGAGGCTCCTGGAAATGTGAGTATGTGGGAGCTGCCGGGCTGAGATGTGGGCACAGACGTTGCTGAGGCTGTGGCACTGGGGGGAGGCGGGGGGAGGCGGGGGGAGCGCCTGGGGGACCGGTGGCTGTGAGAGCAGCTCAGCGTCGCACACGTGGAGACAAAGGGCTTCCTCCCTGGGGCTCAGCCCCGCTTTTCTGCTGCCCTCTCCGGGTTTTTCTCCCACTTCCTCCCCTGCTCCTGGCCTCCCTGCTCTGGTCCCCAGAGCTGGTCCCTGTGTCAGTCTGCCGAGCAACACCCACCCCGGGGTCCTCAGACAAGTTCTGAGGCCCCGGCTCCTCTCCTCTCAGCCTCGGATGGGTGACTGGGGAGGAAGGCTGGGGGCTGGCTCCACCACCCCGTCGTGGCGGCGGTGGTCTCCAGGCCGTGGCTCTCCTGGCATGTGACTGCCCCTCAGGCAGTGCTAGGGACGGAGGGACCGGTGGGTTGCCAGCAAGGCTCTAATAGGTCAAGTCAGGAAGCAGGCGCTGGTGGTGAAAGGGGAGAGGACCAGGAGTTTGATGCAGGACAGAAAAGCGCTTTCCAGTTGTTCTAATGGGCTGTGAAGTATTTTAATCAAACTGCTAGGTTTCAAGTCTGAGTCAGGATGGAAGGAATTTTCAGCTCTAAGAAGGAGCATAGTAGGATATATTCCTTTAAAAACAGAAAAAAAGACCTAAAGCTTATTGCAGAGGTAATACATGTTTCTTTGTAAAATGACTTTAAAAAATATGGAAAAGTGTAAAAACTTAATGGTCACCTGTAATAGCATCAGTTAGAGATGAGGTACTGTTATTTTTGCATTTCTTATATATGTCTGTGTCCACATATAATAGTGTACATGGCTGTATTTTTAAACAGAAATGGAATCTTGTTCTATGTGCTTTTTTTTTTTTTTTACTTGTTGCCAGCATTTTATCAGGTCGTTTCTTACAATACACGTTCCCCCCCAACTTGCAGCATACCTTTAATGACTGCACAATATCCTAATAACTGCACATGGATAAACACGATTTAATGGTTTTCTTGTCCAGGAATATTTTGCTTTTAAACAATACTGTGATCGATGTCCCAGAAGCTGAATCTTTGGGCATGTTCTTCAGCAAAGTATTTCCTTGAGTAACGGGTCAGTGGTCATGCCCACTTTTAAGACTTTGATATGTATTACTCAGCTGTCCTCTAGAAAGGTACTGTCAACACTACTTGTTTACATTGCTCTCAGAGTATGTAAGGTCAAAACTGACGTATTTACCAGTTTGAAAAATCTTTGCCAATTTCCACAAGAAAAATTGAATCTGAAACTGGTATATTTAGGCCTTTTGATGATGGGATGCTCATCTTTAGGTCTTTTTTTGTCCTCTGATCTCACGCTTTGGAATTGGCAGGCGGCAGTAGGGAGCAGGTGCGGGGAGGCGCCTGGGACAGGACGTTCAGTGGGGACACAAGGCAAGGCCGAGACAGGAGCGGTCTCCTCAGGAGCCTGTGAGAACCCTGGCATCACCCCTGTAGAGATGGTCTGGTCCCTGTGCCATCCATTGTGAGCCTGGGTAAAAGATGCCTGTGAGAACAGGATGGATTCTAGTAAAAATGTGTCAATTTGAAATGTGACCCATTGTGTAAAGTGATACAAATTTTGCTATGTTTACTTCATAATCTGTGTTTCCCTTTCAGATTTAGGGAAACTGAAGTCATAGGTGGCTGATATTTGTAGCAACCAGAGATAACTTAGTAAGTAACATTTTAGTCATTTCCCTGTGTGTTTCCTGTGGGTACACTGTGCCTTGGGCTTTCTACCCTGCTTGTTTCCTGGCTAGAGCCTGACAACCTTTCTACACCACTGCCCCCCCAGCCCCACATCTCCATGTACACATTTTCATTTCCTCCGGGTACTACCTAGGTCGGTCCACACTTCCCCGTCTCACAGGCAGATCCTTGTCCCCGTGGACCAGGTTTGTTACCCAGTAGGCGGTGAGCGCTCAGTCTGTCCCTGAGGACTGTGGGAAGCAGCACGGGTCGGACCAGGAGGCCAGCGGGTGCAGGTGCTCACGGTGCTGTCCCGGATACTCCCCAGGTGTCCGCACCTCCCTCGCTCCTGGGGGGCCTGGTGGGACAGGGGTCAGAGTCACGCGGGGCTGGTCCCAGGGAAGTCAGGGCTGTCAGGGGCGTCGTGAAGGAGCCGTCATTTCCCCCACCGAGGTGGCGGGTGTGATTGGGACCTGCAGGCCATCCCAGGACTTCAGTCTCAGCACCAGGGGACAACAGGCAGGGAGTGCATCAGGCCAGAGCTGTGCTTTCTGATCAGTGAGGTGGGTCACTGGCTGAAAGGGCCAGAACTTCCAGTGGGTCAGGACTGATGCTCATGATGACAATCTGTGTTTGGGTTTCCATTTTTCTTCCAGTTGGTAGTTCTCGGCTACAGAGACATAAGCCTTGTTTGGTTGTGATTTCAAGGTGATGGCGCTGAAGGAGGCGGGTGTGTGTGCATGAGTGTGTCAGAGACAGGAGGTGGCGTGACTGGTTGAAGTCGGCTGCTGGTTCCTGAGTGAGGGCTTCTCAGGGCTGAGGCCGAGCTGGTGCCAACAAGTTAGCAAGATGGAGAACCAGATGCTGGATCTCCCACTGTTGCCTCTGCCACGGGCTGCCCTGGGGGTCGTGGCGGGTGAAATGCCGTTTGTCCAGCTGAGGTGGCCTACATGTGCTCCGCCAGCCTCGAAGGTCAGAGCTGTGTGGGGCTCGGCCTGTGCTGGAGGCCTTGTTGGGAACGAGATGAGCCCCTGAGGGGAGAAACAAAGTGCTCCTGAAAAGCAGACAAACGCCCAAGGTGGCAGTCAGCACCTAGGAAGCTCAGAGCATAATCTCCAGGGCACGTTTAAATCCCACCCAGCTAACAAGCGTGACCCTGAATGCCTTCTAATTCTGTGCCAACAGCCCCAAGAAATCTGATGACAAACTGACCCAGAGTCTCTTTTTCTATGGGGAAAAGATATTCGCATATAAAGTCTCTTTTTCTATGGGAAACAACATTAATATGTGCATACTTTGAGCCACACTGCATCCTGTCTTTGTAACAGTTCTTTGCTGCATCTGTTCCACACACGTGGTAACCATATTCCTCACCTGGGGGCTGCCCCTGACCGGGGGTAGTCAGCACTCCCGAGGGGGGTGCAGACCTGGCCCTTCCACAGGCATGCGGGGGTCCATCCAGGTGGGGTGAGGCTGTCAGAAGGGGAGGAGGGTGACGGGAGCTCAGTGGCACTCACAGTGAGATGGTTCTGGAGGCTGTGGTGTCCCGGAAGGCTGGCCTTTTCACTCCTTCGCTTCTGTCGTGATGGTGTGTGTCGGGGGAGCTCTGTGCGTGTCCTCTTCCTTGTTCACTGTCGGGGATGCCGAGTGCCTGGGGCTCTGGCTTTCCCCCGGATTCCAGACGCAGGGGCAGGCAGATACTCAGGAGGGCGGAGTCCCTGCCTCCTCACCCCAAGGGCCATCCCCTTGTCTGTCTTGTAGAAACCCCAGGAAGGGGAGGAGGAGGAGGACAGCAAGAGCAGCAAAGCCCCCACCACTGTCCCGGAGGAGCGTCTCTGAGAGAGGGCGGAGGAGCGACTCCGGGGACTCGGACTGCCCCCACCTCTTCAGCCAGCCCAGCTCTGCCTGCCAGCCCCATGGCCTTCACCCGAGCAGCTTCTGGGGGAACTGGGAGGAACATCTGTGTCTTGGAGGACAGAGCCTCTGCCTCCTGGAAGCCACTCCAGAGCGTGCCCCGTCTCCGTGGGGGAGGTGCACTTTCCACCACACAGGTGGGGGCCCTGCCTTCCCCCTGCAGGCTCTGGGAGCTGGGGAGGCAGAGAGAAGCCTGGAGTCAGTCCTGGCTGCTGCCTCACCTTCCTGCTCCAGCCCATCTCTAGGGAGATGTTCTCCAGAGGAAGGGTGAGCCCAGCCCACTGTCTGTCTCCTTCACTGCAAACTCACCTGGATCATTCCCCCCAAGAACTGCAAAGGTCTCCTGAGAGATGAAAGGAAAGGAGAGGTGGGCCTTGATGGGACTTGGGTCTCCTGGGTTAGGTAAGCGCGTCCACCTCTGGTGGCCAGTGTTTGCACCCAAACCCTCTCCTCATCCCTCTTCCAGCGACAATCCTTTCTCAGACTTCCTGAATATAAAGGGACTCCTTTCAACCAGCCCAAGCTCACCTCTCCTGCCTTGCCTGCATCTGGCTCTACTCATGGTTTTGGGAAGAATCGCCTCAAAATAAGACGTTTTTGCCAGTTCTCCCGTGCCGTGAGCTCTGTAATCAAGACCCCTATGCTGTGTGTTGTGCCCACTGCCTTGGCCTCAGCATGTTGGAGTTGCCTGCGTGGCAGCGGTGCTTGGGCCGGGACCGGGGTGAGCCTGGGGTGTCTGCGTCTGTGTGCACAGATACTCTGCCTGAGAAAAGTCAGACTTCTGCAGGAGGGCCGAGTCAGGAGTGGGAGGGAAGTGGGAAGTGATGGTTTTTACTTTTTGATGAGGCCAAAGTGTTTACTCTTCAGTCCCTTAAAATACATAAATAAAATGTTTACTGAAACTATTTATTTTTAAAATATAATTAGTTATTATGGCCTGTCTTGTCATTTGTTGGGGCAGAGATGGTTTTGGGGGTGGGAATGGGAAGGAAGGGTGGGGGCTCCATACCATGAGACGTTGTCATCAAGTGGGTTATTAGTTTTTAAGTTTTTTTTTTTATTGAAGGATAATTCTTTTACATAATTTTGTTGTTTTCTGTCAAACCTCAGCATGAATCAGCCATAGGTATACATATATGCCCTCCCTTTTGAACCTCCCTCCCATCTCCCGCCCCATCCCACCCCTCTAGGTTGATACAGAGCTGCTATTTGAGTTTCCTGAGCCATACAGTAAATTCCTGTTGGCTATCTATTTTACATATGGTAATGTGAGTTTCCTTGCTACTCTGTCCATACATCTCACCCTCTCCTCCCCTCTCCCCATGTCCATAAATCTGTTCTCTATGTCTGCTTCTCCATTGCTGCCCTGTAAATAAATACTTCAGTACCATTTTTCTAGGTTCCATGTATGTGCACTAGAATACGGTATTTCTCTTTCTCACTCAGTTCACTCTGTATAATAGGTTCTATGTTCATCCACCTCATCAGAACTGACTCAAATGTGTCCTTTTTTATGGCTGAGTAATATTCCACTCTGGATGTATACCATGACTTCTTTATCCATTCATCTGTTGATGCACATCTAGGCTGCTTCCATGTTCTAGCTATTGTAAATAGTGCCCCAATGAACAACAGGATACATGTGTCTTTTTCAACCCTGACTTCCTCAGGGTATATGCCTAGAAGTGGGATTGCTTGGTCATATGGTAGTTTTATTCCTAGTTTCCTAAAGAATCTCCTTACTGTCTTCCATAGTGGCTATATCAATTTACATTCCCACCAACAGTGCAAGAGAGTTCCCTTTTCTCCACACCCTGTCCAGCATTTATTGTTTGTAGACATTTTAATGATGGCCATTCTGACCAGTATGAGGTGATATCTCATTGTGGTTTTTATTTGCATTTCTCTAATAATGAGCAATGTTGAGTATATTTTCATGTGTTTGTTAGACATCTGTATGTCTTCTTTGGAGAAATGTCTGTTTAGTTCTTTTCCCCCTTGTGGGTTCTTTTTAAGATGAGGCTGCAGAGGTTACACCTGGCCTATTTGGGGACAGCAACTCAGTGCCTAACACGTGACTGGGCCTGCTTTCCATATAGCGTCCACTCGAAGACAGTTCACCCGAGTGTGCCTGCTACCAAGAGCCCACTAGTTTCTGGCTATATCTCCAAGGGTGGTTGGAATGTCTGTTCTACAAGCACAGCAATCATGCAGCAGATTGTCTGGGCCAAAATCCAGTTTTGTTTTCTGCAGTTCTGGATTGTTCCCCTTCCTGTCACTCTTCCCTTCGTAATGCGTTTACCTTAGGTGCGTTACAAGAATGGGCTGCAGTCATCACTTTCCTGGACATTTCTTCTCTAGCGAGCTGACTGTGTCTGGGACACTCTGACACCCTATCTGCCAGCAATCCTTAGGCGGACAAACAACATTAGGATTCCACTTTAAATCACCTGGGAAGGGAGCCAAGCCTGGGCTGTTAGAGAAACCTAATAGCCAGAGTATCAGCCAGATACCTGTATCATTTCTTTAGATCCTTTGGGATCTTCCCTTTATTTATCAGGAATCACATTTCCTTGAGGCACGCCTAGAAGATCCATATCTTCTTGTGCTTTCATTCATTCCTTTCTAAGGTGGGTTCCCTGCAGACCTCCACTCAAACATTAACTCTCTGTAAGATCACTGCTTTTTTTACTGCCTCCTACAACAGCTGATAAGGGAAAGATAGCTTGTACCAGGGAGCTATTTTTCTAGGTGGGGACAGGAGGCCTGGGATTGCTACAACCACTTTCGGTACCATAAAGGAAGCCAGCCTGTGGATGAAGCCAGCACAGGAGGGCGGAGTCAAAAGAACGCCAGAGAAATGGAACTGAATCCTGATCAAATCATTCCTGAAGCCTACAATCCTCTTTTCAGTTTTGCCAGCCAATGTCATCTTTATTGCTTCAGCTCGTTTAAGGAAGATTTTGTTCCTTTCACCTAAAGAGCCTTAGCTGATTGAGAATGCCCTTCACAAGCCCCCTGCTCCCTTCCCATCTCCTGCCTTTCACTTCTGAATGTCCCCATCTGCAATTAGTGATCTTAGTCTTTGAACAAGACCAAGTGCTGCTCCATCTGCCCTAAATACTGCCTCACATATTAAGACACACGAGCTCTGTGATTCAACTCGGATCCCACCTCCTCAGAGAGGCTTTTCCCAGTGATCTATGTTGTGCACTCCCTCCCCTTCTGAATCACAGTACCTGGTTATCTAGAGTTCTCATCACTGCCTGGAGTGTTCTTCCAGGTGTGGGCTTGTTGACAGTCTGTTTCTTGACTACAGGGACATTGCCTGGCTCCTTCATTTTTCCTTCCCAAGTGTCTGGCATGGAGTAAGTGTTCAATAAACACTCGCTGAAGTAGCGAATGGGTTCTCGCCTCTGCACACTGTGCGTGAGGGTCCGGCCAGTGTGGAGGTGCTCAGGGCTGTGTCTGGATGGCAGCCGTCTGCTCCAGGGCCTTGTCCTCGGGCCCCAGGCTCTCTTCATGCTCATGCAGCTGTGTCTTCCATGTTGTCTGGTTCTGCTTTCTCAAGAACCTCTTTCTTCTTTGCGAAGAAAACAAGAGAGGGTTCTGGCTGTTCAGCTGTGTGCTCAGAATTTGGAAGGTGTGGATAGAGATGAGGAAGATTTGACTTCATGAGAAATGAACAAGAGACTGAAGGCAGCCAGGTTTACCTGGGTCTTGTGCTGTCCCACTCATTATGGTGTATTTGACCTGCAGAAAGCTGGGATCTTCCTCTGCTAGGCCTCAGAGGAGGGCAGGAGCACTCTGGGCTTAGGGGAGGCCAAAGTACCAGGACTGATCAGAGCAGAAGGTTCCTCTATTTATTACAAGTCTCATTACACAAATACAGGTGACTGGAAGGTCTAAAACTATCCCAGTCCCTTCCAACCCTGATCCACCTGTAGGTGCAAGGAAGGGGTCATGCTCACTGGCCGGGGAGCCCTTCTTAGAAGAACTGCTTGTCCCACGGATGGTTCAGGATCTTGGGTCTGGCAGCAGAGAGAAACCCAACCTGGATGGACAACCACTCAAAGCAGCCCTTGGTGGCAATGCTCTGGGCAAAGTAGCAGCTTGAAGTTTCACAGTTTGCATCTTCCAACCATACAAGTCAAGTCGACAGTTAAAAAAAAAAAATGAAAAAAGGAGAAGGCTGGAAAAGCATTGCTGGAAGAGGCTGTGGGTGAGGGAAGGGCACACAGTGGACTTCAGATATATTGGCAGTTCCTTGATTTGGACAGACGTACAGTATTCTAAAATGATTCTTTCAGTCAGTGGCTCAGTCGTGTGCAACTCTTTGTGACCCCATGAGCCACAGCACGCCAGGTTTCCCTGTCCATCACCAACTCCCGGAGTCTTCCCAAACCCATGTCCATTGTGTCCGTGATGCCATCCAACCATCTCATCCTCTGTCATCCCCTTCTCCTCCTGCCCCTCAATCTTTCCCAATATCAGGGTCTTTTCAAATGAGTCAGCTCTTCACATCAGGTGGCCAAAGTATTGGAGTTTCAGCTTCAGCATCAGTCCTTCCAATGAACACCCAGGACTGATCTTCTTTACGATGGACTGGTTGGATCTCTTTGCAGTCCAAGGGACTCTCAAGAGTCTTCTCCAACACCACAGTTCAAAAGCATCAATTCCTCGGTGTTCAACTTTCTTTATAGTCCAACTCTCACATCCATACATGACCACTGGAAAAACAATAGCCTTAACTAGACAGACCTTTGTTGACAAAGTAATGTCTCCGCTTTTTAATATGCTATCTAGGTTGGTCATAACTTTCCTTCCAGGGAGTAAGCGTCTTTTAATTTCCTGGCTGCAATCACCATCTGCAGTGATTTTGGAGCCCAGAAAAATAAAGTCACTGTTTCCCCATCTATTTGTCATGACGTGATGGGACCAGATGCCATGATCTTTGTTTTTCTGAATGTTGAGCTTTAAGCCAACTTTTTCACTCTCCTCTTTCACTTTGATCAAGACGCTCTTTAGTTCCTCTTCACTTTCTGCCATAAGGGTGGTGTCATCTGCATATCTGAGGTTATTGATATTTCCCCCAGCAATCTTGATTCCAGCCCAGCGTTTCTCATGATGTACTCTGCACATAAGTTAAATAAGCAGGGTGACAATATACAGACTTGACGTACTCCTTTTCCTATTTGGAACCAGTCTGTTGTTCCATGTCCAGTTCTAACTGTTGCTTCCTGACCTGCATACAGGTTTCTCAAGAGGCAGGTCAGGTGGTCTGGTATTCCTATCTCTTTCAGAATTTTCCACAGTTTATTGTGATCCACAAAGTCAAACGCTTTGGCATAGTCAATAATGCAGAAATAGATGATTTCCCGGAACTCTCTTGCTTTTTCGATGATCCAGCAGATATTGGCAATTTGATCTCTGCCTTTTCTAAAACCATCTTGAACATCTGGAAGTTCACAGTTCATGTATTGCTGAAGCCTGGCTTGGAGAATTTGATTCTTTACATACATTTCAATGGCACTGACTTTCTGTATGCACATGATATGTTAAAAAATTTTTAATTAAAGAAAAAAAAAACCCAAATGTGAAAGGCTAAAAGTGGATGATGGAGCAGAAATGAAACTGAAAAGCATAGAGAAGGAAGAGATGAGCAAAGGCGGGAGGTGACGTCTTGGACATGGTGATGTTGACCTCAGTTTCTCTTCTTCTGTCTGGATCCTGGTTCTGCTTCTAGGTGCCGGAGCCCCACTAGCATGCCCAGGATCGAGATACCTTAAATACAGACAGACAGGATTAGTGGCTGACACAAGCACCATGCTTTCTTATATTGCTTGTATAAGGCTTGTCCTTTGGGTTGGGATGGCTCCTGTGGGAGTTCCAGAGTCACTGAATACTTACTTGCCACCATGAGGGGTGCCATGACACCAATCGTGGGAGCCGCAGTCCCAAATACAAACAACTCACAGAGGAAGTGCCCCATTGCGAGGAAGAATGTCCAGAGAGTGATGTAGTAGAGCCTACGGGGGAGCAGACAGAAACGGGACTGTAGGTACAACTTATTCAGTGCAGAGGAAGTAGTCAGACTCGAAACACACAAATCAAAACCCAGGAAATGACTAGGCTAAAGAGAAAGGAGACTTGGTCCTGCGAAAGACCTGGCTGCTGCTGCTAAGTTGCATGAGTTGTGTCCAACTCTGTGAGACCTCACAGCTGGCAGCTGCTAGATCATATCAAATTTATTCACCTCTAGGGCAAAACCGAAGCCTTCAACTGCTAAATTGAGAGGAGAATGACCCAGCCATCCAGAGTGGCTTTGCAAGTCTTAGCCAGGTGGTGAAGCCAGTAATAGCAGAGTCTGGACTATGGCGATCCTAGGTAGTGTAGACAATTTTGGATCAATCACACTTATGTATTTTACTTACTCCAACTGACTTGACACTAGTCCAAGCCCGCTTTGCATGTGTCTGGCCAGGGGCTGGTCAGTGCTCATCTGATGGATGCCACCGAATGAAGGGCATGAATGTGGAATGGGTAGCAGGGGCCTTTCTGGGACTTTTAGATGATTTTGCAACATGGGCTGCATCTTAAGATACTCTGCATCTTAACCTAGCAAAATGGTCAGATGGAGGACACAGTGACAACCTCACAGGAAGAGAACTTGTTCCTCAGTTTTGACAAGGAGGTGGAGAAGACGGAAGTTATAGGAAGATGGACCACTTTGATAGCTGGTATCTTCTTTAACTATGAAATTTAAAAATTATGAAATACTTCAAACATACAAAAAATCATTCATAATAGAATTTAACCCTATACAACCAATACCCTACTCCATCAAATCTCAGTATCTTGACATTTTTGCTTCAGATACTTTTTTCCTAAGAAATAAAATATTACAGATTTCAGCTAAAGCTTCCTGGATGTCTTTTTTCTTTCAAGTGAAAGTTGGCTTATTTAGAGAAATACCAATTAAATAGGCAGAATGCAGACTGTTTCAGAAAGTGAGAAAGCTGGGAATTGATTTCAAGTTTCTGGTTAGGAAGGGAATATATTCAGAGAGCATATCAGAAGCACACGGTTAAAAAATCCAGGCTTTAAATAAAAGCTGGAAATAGAAGTCAGCATTTCCAGCTGTCCTGTGTTGGGTGAAGGGGAAGTGAATGAGGAAGAGAGGTAAAGATAAGTCTCAGCTGTCCCTGTTCATCCCCAAAGCACAACAAACAAAAGATACACCCTTTCTACTTGTCAGTAATTCTTCAACATGGTAAAGGTCATTAAAATGATTATGCAGTCCTTACTCCCTCCCAGTCACCCTGAGAGAAAAAAACAGATACACGAGTCTCATTTTATAGATGAAGGGACTGAGATGCAGAGAAGGTCTATGATAAACTTGCTGCTTCAAAGCTATTACCAGTAGAAATGAGACCAGAGCCTATTTTCCAGTTTTCATTCTTGGGCCTCAGAGTGTTTCCACTAAACCACGCTGCTTCCAAAAATACATGTCAATCTAGAACAAGTAGTCCATAGTTTCAGGTTCAAAAATACGAAAAAATAAAGCTGGAGAGATCACAGTGCTAATAGCCCTCAAATCCCACTTGTCCTAGTCTTCTCAGTTTAAATGAATTGAGTCTCTAATACGCAGATCTACAGAATCAGCAACAAAAATCACTGCTTCCCAGGGCTACTAGGAGACTTAATCAGTGTCATGTGGAAAGCATCTGGTATAATAAGAGGGTCTCAATAAATATCACCATCTCCTCTCTTGCCCAGATGCTGAGAGTCTGGCTAACATAAAAGTATTATGGTATGAAGTTCTTTTGGTGGCCTTACCTCGGGACCTGAGCAAACTTTCCAGCCTGATTGTGGTGATGATTGGGGCTGGGAAGAAAGCTTGAGCCCCCTCCAGTGGCCAGTTCCGATTACAACACTATCTAGCCCAGGGGCTGAGACTGCCTGCAATTGCTCCACACTAGTCTGTATGATGGAGAAGGAAATGGCAACCCACTTCAGCATTCTTGCGTAAAGAATCCCGTGGACAGAGGAACCTGGTGGGCTGCTGTCCATAGGGTCCCACAGAGTCGGATACGACTGAAGCAACTTAGCAGGCATGTATGCACTGGATAAGGAAATGGCAACCCACTCCAGTACTCTTGCCTGAGAATCCCAGGGACAGAGGAGCCTGGTGGGCTGCCCTCTATGGGATCTCACAGAGTTGGAAACAACTGAAGTGACATAGCAGCAGCAGCAGTCTGTATGAGGGGCTTCCCAGGAAGCAAAGAGGTAAACAATCTGCCTGCCAATGTAGGAGCTCAAGAGACGCAGGTTTGATCCTACCCTGGGTCAGGAAGATCCCCTGGAGTAGGAAATGGCAACCTGCTCCAGTATTCTTGCCTGGAAAGAGGAGCCTGGTGGGCAACAGTCCATGGGGTCGCCAAGAGTTGGATATGACTGTGCACACACGCACTCAGTCTGTGTGAGTCCTCTGAAGAGGCAGAATACAGAGGGGTGCTCGGTTCTCTGTGACCTTCCCTTCATGACTCTGTAAACAGCCGTTTACTGGTGGGCTCATGACATCATGGATCGTGATTTCTGTTCATCCCTGCTTCTCAAGGAGGAATGTGAGTATAGGCATGCCATGGCCTCTCTAAAAAGAGCAAGCACACTACCTCTTTAGAAGAAGAAAGGCTAAAAAAAAAAAAAAGAAGAAGAAGAAGAAAGGCTGACTCGTTAGTAAAGAAGTAGAGGGATATGATGCAGGCCACTGGATCACAACATAACCAGTCTGCTGTGTCTGTTTCAAAGAACTGTTAAGCTTTAAAGACCTTCAGGCCTGTGATGTTTTCTAGCCCTGGAAGGAATGGTACCTAGTAATCTTTTATCTTCACATCCTAGGTTACTGTATCAAATCATAGGCCATATGATGGAATCACAGTCCATCATAACTGCCTCTTGATCCTGGGCATTTATTAGAATCAACTGAAGAAATTTTATCAAATTACCCAGACCTGGATACCAGATAATTTAAATCATACACTCTGGAGATGGGCCCAGGAACCCTTGGTATTTTCTAAAGTCTTGCCTTATTGATTTTAATGTACCGGCATTGATAAATAAGTCTCCGAGGGAGGAACACAATGGCTATGCTTAGCACCCACTGCCAACACAGGGAGATGCTGTTCCCTCCCTCACATACGTTTTGTTGTGAATGTCGATGGCACAGAGGCAGCGAACCACTGATGAGAGCAGCGTCCAGATTCCATAGGTCCGAGCTTGGAGGCCATTCACTGTGCAGAAGGAAAAATCAGGAGTGTTGAGAAGGGTGGGTCAGGGTTCCCTCCAAACTCCTCCAACTTCACTGGAGGAGTCAGAGAACTGAGCCTGAGATCCCCTTGGCTGGGCAAAGTACAGGCTCTGATGCTGCATGTGGGAACTAGAAGGGATGGAAAGAACTCCGGAAGGAGAACTGGTTCAGCTCCTCTTCCAATGCCTACAGTTGGGCGGGCGAGTTCCAAGAGTAGAAACCCAACAAACACCCTACTTCAGCAGTAACTCCTGGGTTAGTGGTTTATGGCTCTGCCTGGAAGCTGCTCTGGTGTTGGTGAAGCAAGTGAGTCTGAATCAGGGTAAGTGTGGAGGAACACGGTGGAAAGAGGTCTGTCAATACAAGATGCCTAGGAGATCAGCAGACTTTCAGTGAGGCTGATGCAGGAGAGAACGCAGAAATACTGAGCCCTGTCTAGAGAGCCACATCTGGTCTTTAAGAGACCCAGGTCCCTGGATCTTCTGAATTCAGATCTATATTATGTGAATGAAGCCCTCACTAGGCTGGTTTCCTGTGCGTTTGGGAAGGGAACAAAGTGCTGGTGTTAGCCAGGGCCTCTCTGCTCTTGTTAGCTTCATTCTGGCACTGCTGTGTTAAATTTCTTGTCCAGAGAGCTTAAATCATAGTCCATCATAACAGTGCTTCTTGGCCTGGACATATATTAGAATCAACTGAAGAAATTTTATCAAATTACCAAGACCTGGATACCAGATCAGTGAAATCGTATACTCTGGAGGTAGGCCGGAACACCCCTGGTATTTTCGAAAGCCTTGCCTTGTTGATTTTAATGTACCAGCGTTGATCTACGGTGAAAAGCAAAGATACTTCCTTTGCTGGTCTCGTGAGCAAGAGAAATTTTGAGGGACAAGACTCACAACCGAAATGTCTTTCAGGATTTTCCTTTAAGAATTTTTCAGCCTTTGGAAAACCAGACAGCAACACCAAATTCATAACCCCAAAGATCTTTCGATGGTAGTCATTTTGATTAAAAAATCCCATAACACAAACTAATATTTAACGGTTAGTCCTGGAGTGAAATGAAGTCACTCAGTCATGTCCAACTCTTTGCGACCCCATGGACTGTAGCCTACTAGGCTCCTCGGTCCGTGGGATTTTCGAGGCAAGAATCTTGGAGTGGGTTGCCATTTCCTTCTCCAGGGGATCTTCTTGACCCAGGGATCGAACCCAGGTCTCCTGCATTGTAGGCAGACGCTTAACCGTCTGAGCCACCAGGGAAGTCAGTCCTGGAGGGCTATATACTTTTTTTCTTTTTACACTCTTTGTAAAGCATTTTGATAGCTCTTCTGATGGAAAGATAGGAAATATCTCTATTCTACTTATATACATCTCACTAAGGATGAGATATACAAATGGAGTATCTCAGTAATCCTAACCAGAGTAGGCATCAAGTAAAATTCTTCTACTGGATGCTCCAGGGTCCTGCTATCACCAGCAAAGTACCATGAGGTCCCAAGGGACCTATTTCCGGCCTGTGTGTGCATGCATGCATGCACAAGCTAACAAACGCACTTCTGCTCAGCTATATGCTCTTCGGCAAATCACATCACAAAACCCCTGGACTTTTCTGTCAAAGGGCTAAAAACCTGTGAGTCTATACAGTTCCTGGACCACCGGAGGACAGCACTGGAGGGTGAAAAGTGGAATTCTTCCACCCACTTTTCCAGGGTCTCTAAGCCTACTGAACCTGAGCTTTGTTCAAAGTGAGGCTTAGCCTATTTACTTTCATTTTATACCCAGATGTTGCAGAAAAATGAGCTAGGTCAGAGCCTGAATCTGGGTTACCTATAAATGTGACATAGAATTGTCACTACCATGAAATGGTGCTGCAGCTGAAGCCACCCCACATATCAGAGCAAGGAAGCACACGCTGAAATGTGCAACCACTCTCTACAGAGAGACTTAGGACACTGGGGAAAGCCATCAGGGGCCTGTGGAAGTTCACTTCGGGAAACCAACCTGGAGAGATTTTGGATATCTTTTCAGGGTCTGTGTCATGGTTTGAGAAGACCTTGGCTTAGTAATTCTCCATATGCAATGTAGGGTATAAACGATATGCTCCATAACCTGATTTCTGAAAGAAGCTAACAGGAAAACCTTCTTCATGGTTTCCTATCAGGCAGCAGAGTCATCAAGGAACTCTGTTTCCTCACTTGTCCTTGTAATGGTATTTGTACAGACCAGCTGCCGAGGGCAGTGTAAAATGAAGGGAAATGTGATCAGAGAAGCTTGAGGGGAGAAAAGACCAAGTGTTATCCACCACGTCTGTTCCTCTAGTGCCTTAGGCTTCTTAGCTTAGGCAGCATCAGAATCACCTGGGAAGGTTCTAAGAAGAACTTCCTGTGACCCATCCGGGGGGGTGAAATGTTCAGTAATTAGGTCTGGAGAGGGAAATGGCCTCCTGTGCTTTGTTAGGTTTTAGTTTTTCACAGTTATTGTGATGTATACCCAAGTGTGGGGACCACCATTTAAGCCATTCCCACAAAGGATGGAGGTGTTTGCTTTCTTACCCAGGTCTGGCTTCCCAGTATAAAGCTTTTCATAGAGAAAGGTGTGGTCTCGGAAGCTCTGTAGCGAGTTCCCTGCGGCTACGATGGATACCATCACCAGCCAGCTTCGTAACACATTCAGGAATCGGCTCATGGCTCCCCTCCAACCTGAGAGGGGTTTTTGCCTTGGAAACAAAAGCAAAGGGCAGGAGACAGTACATTAAACAGATGGTTAATGTGCTTCAACCGTAAGCTCTGCAGTTAACCTGTGTCCCACTGATGAGGGGTGTACTAATCTTATTTCATCAGTCATTTCATAAACTTCTCTCCCAAATACCTGAGGCTCATCTACCTCCATGCACCCTTCATAGGGCTGGCACACTGCCTTTGAATATCTACCTTAAATCAAAGTGTGCTGACCAGAGTAAAAAGGTTCAATAATGCAGTGGGTGGAAATGACAAACCCCAGTGGGAAAATGGAAAGAAAGGAAACAGAAGAGAGGGAAGTGACCGAACATCACTATAAATAAATAAAATGGACTTTGGTGTAAGACTTACAGAAATCCATCTTGATATTTCATCGTACTAATAGTGGTGAATCAACAGTATACTCTGAAATAAGTAGCCCCATGCTTACGTTTATCTAAGGAATTTCTCCAAAATATTAGCCTAAATCAGAACTCTCTTCTCTTGGCTAGAATTAGTCCCCTGGGATCTTTACTTGTAACCTGGTGTTTCATTTCAACCTTTTGTACTGCAAGTAGCTCAAAGGTGATTATAAATCTACTAATAGATACCTGCCTGGCTACTGGTGACCAATCCTTCCAAGCACAGACAAGCCTTCTATGTCTGAGTGGCATGTATGGTTTGAAGGCATTATTTACATGCTTTAACTTTTCTATACTTTGGTTTTCAGGGACATCATGCTTCATAAATTAGGAGAACAAAATAAAAGTTACAAATTAATAAATTGTTGTGACTTGTGAAATAGTAAGAAAATTAGATGGAGAAGGAAACAGCAATGTTAGTGTTGGGTTGCAGAAGAATCTACAGTTATTGAGTACTTGTATATGCCATGCACTATGCCAAGCACCTATCATATATTATCTCATTTAATCCTTAAACAAGGTCGGGAGACACTGTTAATATTTCTACTTTATAGATGAGGGCTGGCATAGAGATGTTAAGTGACTTGATTAAGGTTACACAGTCTATGGATGAAACAGCAGAGAGAAAAAGCATGGTGTATTGGTCTCTAAGATGTTTCACTGAGCATATTTTGATGAAGTTTCCATTTCTGTGAGAGATAAGCAAACCATAGCCACCTGTCTTCAAGTGGTATAGAAAATACCATCAGGCTATGTACTTTTTATTTAAAAAACTGAACAAAATGTTAAATCAACCCTTGCTGAGCACAGATTTCAATCATCTTGGTTTAAATAAAAACCATGTAGATAAAAATCTAATCATGGAATTGCTTCTTCTCATCTTTGGTATGTGACCCATGGTTTATCGATTGTCTGGTTAATATCTTGAGCCTTAAGTGGCAATAAATTATCAGGTTTCCTTTGTCACTTTGACAGTAGGCCTTTTGGCATGGTCCTACATTACTCAGCTGAAATAAATATTAAAGTCAGTAAAGGCAGAAGTGTGATGCACCAAAAAACACAGCAAGTTCCAGAGATAGAAGGGTCAGTGGATGAACCCCTCAGTGCAAATGGGTCACAAAACTGGACTCTGTCAAAGTCCAGAGAGAATGAAGCTCTAACGGAATCACAAGCAGCTACAGCATGGGCCAAGATACACGCCCTCCACTTCCCCTACCATATTGTTTTCTCACCGTGCCTCACTAGGAGACTTAAGCTCTCAGGGTCATTAAAGCTGTATGGATGACCTCCTTCTTTGAGAAAACTTATGACCATTTCACAGAAATGCTCAGAAACTCCAAAAGATAGCTGATGAAGGCAGAGCCAGAGCACTCTTCCAGACTGCTCTGCCAGTCCCTCAGCACGACTTCCTCAAAGCTTTTGAGGGCCTGTGAGAGTATCCAACATCTGTTCTCAAAATTTACCCAGGCCCAGGCCAGCAAAGGTGTGGTGGTTTAGTAGAGTCGGGAGAGAGAGTTTCCTTTCCTGGTCTCACTTTTCAGTAGCTGTGTGAGCGTGGGGAAGTAATTTACACTTTACAGCTTAGGTTTCCTTACCTGTAAAATGGAGATTAAAATGACCTATTCCAAGAGTTATTATAAGCATTACTTTTGAAAGCAAAGGTTCCTCGTATTGTGCCACGCTCAGAGTGGACCCCATTCGTTTATCGATTCACCCGTTCTGTACCTACCAAGCTTTCTTCATTTTCCCAGCTCCCTCTTCTCTTGGTCTCTGAAATCTTTTTCCCCCACAAGGTTGCCTCCCGGGTATCTTCTTTCTGCCCCATCTCCATTGCTTCAGGCTGTGCGGATCCTCTCCATTAGAAGCCACACAGACCCACCTCTCCCCACACCCCCGACATTCACCCTACCTGGCGACAGTACTGTCAGCACAGCAGTAGCAGCAGCAAAGGTGCTGCCCCAGCACAGCTCCAGACCTGAGTCTACCTGAGCCACTTGTCCCCGCCCCCACTCTCAGCCCGGCTCCAGGATTGGTTTGTTGCCATCAGTCCTCGTTCTGATTGGCTGTTTAGGTTATGCTCGAGCAGGCGATGGGGCGTGAAGCCCTTTACTGCCAATCAGCGGTTGCGGCTCAGCAAACCTCACCCCCAGCACACCGCCCTTGCAGTGAACCTTCCTGTTGAGCACAGCGAAACAACTCCAGGTTCGGAGTCAATCTTTTTGCGGCGGAGGGGGAAAGAGCGGGAAAAGGAAGTCAAGACTTCCGTGGAGAGCAGAGACCTGTGCCCACTCGGCGCGGCGATGACGACAATTGTACGTGCCTGAAGCCAAGCGTCCTCCGCGCCAGGGCGCGGGCGCCTGCGCAGTGGGCCCGAGCGGGCGGTTGCTGGTTGGTTGTTGTAGTAACGGGGGAAGCCGCCTTCGGCTGCGGCCTTGAGCCCGGCTGGGGAAGGAGGAGGGAGGTAGGCGCAGAGCGCTCGCTGTCCCCGCCTGCCCGCCCCGAGCGATGGGAAGATGAAACAGGTAAAGGCCTGCGCCCGCGCCCTACTCCCCGGAGAGAGGGGCGCCCCCGAGTCCGGGCGGGCGCCGGCCCTTGCACTTCCCTCTCCTTGTCCGGGAACAGCTGTTGGCTTCCGGGCGCGCTGGGCTGAATCGCAGCGGCTGTGGCTCCCCGCGTCCTTTCCGTGGGGAGCATCTGAGGACCTCCCTGGGATGGGCTGAGCCATGGGTGGATCTGAGAGCCTGATCCCTGTAGGGAGAGGACACTCCTTGGGCCAGTGCCCTCAACCTTCCGATCGCCCTGTCTCTTCCTGCCCAGCTCGCAGCCTAGGACAGGTTGGCATCCGTTCGTCGCTTGGAGGTTTAGTTTCTTTTGTATGAATTTAAGGGACTTCCCAACATTTTGGGAAATCCTGAGAAATCCTGTCGGGGATACTCGGAAGAAAGCCTTGAGATTGTTCCATACTGCCCATATCGCTGGACATGTGTAGGGGATCCTTGTAGGAACTGGCTTTCCTCGCCCCCATTTAGGTTATCACATATGTTAACACACAGAAAAATAAGGTTTGGAAACATTGAATAGTAATCTTTGAGTAATAGGATTATGGTCATTCAAACATTTTCTTATCTGTTATTTCTAGTCCATCCTCAAACACAATGAAATGTACTTTTTCTTTATTAAAGTATTTTAATTAGAAATAGGCTAATTTTAATTTCTATTTGATATTCGGATCATAGTTTGTGATTTTCAGTAAGGAAGAATAATTTTTGAGAGCTTTTGAAAGGACGGTTTCCCCTGCCCCCTCCAGCTATTTATAACCTTGATTCAGCAGAATATATTCATTTTTTGCTTGTATTTATTTCAGTGGAATCATGATCTTATTTTACCTATGCTTGTCATAGAGTCTAAAGAAATATTTGGAAGGATCTTACAACTTGCGTTTTTCATTTTAGCTCATATCAGGTTTTGCTAGCAAGAAACCTATGTTTTTTAGGCAATCAGCCGCGTTATCTCAGATTTTCCTGAAAGTTAAGTAAGCCTATCATTTTGGTGCACATTAGATTTAGTATGTAAAAGAAACACAAGAAACTTAATAGCTGCTCTTCAAATACACAGAGGACAGATAGTATGTTTAAAAAAAAAAAATCTCGATCATTGTGCCATATGTGAGGCACTGTAAAAAAAAGGTAAGCTTCTAGAGGCTGAACCCTGTTTAGATAAATATCCATTTTAATTACATAAAAGATCACCATCAATAATGAACAAAAAGACAGCTGTGTTACGTTTCAGATCCTTTGTCTCTCTTGCAGGAATCTGTGCCACCCAAATTGTTTGATCCAGTGAATGTGCAAGGAAAGGTCTCTGAGGCCCCCGTCTGCTGACTGCATGACAAACTCTAAAGGAAATGCCAGTTGTGATGGCCCGGGACCTGGAGGAAACAGCATCATCCTCAGAGGATGAGGAGGTGGTAAGCCAGGAGTAAGTAGTAGCAAGCCTGCTTTTGACCCTTTGCCTTCAGGTTGGAAGTTAGTTCTCTTTTATTTTACTCCTATCCTCTTTTACCCAGTGTCCTTCCTTTGGTGTTATCTGACTCTGGTTTTAGCCTCCATACATGGTCTAATTTGGGATCTTTTTTTGGTGTGACCATCAGCTATGTGAAATGAGATAAGGCTCTGTTTCTGGGCTCATGAGTGAACATCAGCCCTAGATGGTACAGGTAGCTCTTAATCAAGTCTTAATCAGAGCTCCTTACATAGGAGATTTTGAAATTTTTAGATACCTAAGAAAAGTAGGTCTCCCAACTCTGTGACATTGGTTATTTTCTCCAAAGCCTTTAGGATGATAGAGTGATGATAATAATAAGTTGTTTGAGTAAGTGTGGGACAGGCCATTAGAATTCTATAGCCTGTGCTGTCTATTGAGACACATGGCTTTCTCAAGTTCTTTTAGATGAGTCAGGTTTCTTAATTGCTGGATTCTCACAAGAATATAAATGAAGATAGTGCTAAGTGTAGCTGCTATAGGTGATGGTAAGGGCTTTAACTGC